GCTGATACGATTTCGTAGGTAGGTAGATATGATTCCAATTCACTTAGGCACTTGTCCTAAGTTACAGAGGAGCCGTGTTGTGCTTTACTGGTTTGCAAGTTTCTTTAGTGTCTCTAGAGATTTGATTCAGCTGCACCGACTTCTCTTCATTCTTGTGATCTTCCTGGCTTCCTTGTTCAATCAAACATTGCTATGCTTTTAATGGTTGAACCAATTCGCGATTGTTCGTGGAGTGGGCAATCCCTACCATAAGCTGCACACAATCAACAAGGGCTGCTTTTATTTCGAGTCCAAAGTCCCAAAGCATTGAGTAGATTAACACCTCTTTCAGATAGTCAGTAAATCAGCCATTCTAAAACGAGAATTTTGATGCTTGAAAGTGTGAGTAGCACTTGCAAGGTAATCATTTTCAATCTCATCTATAGAGTTTAATTCTATAAATTTAAAAAAAAAAACACTAACAACCAGCGAATGCATTCAGTTTCTTGTTCATTATGTGATAAAATGTCTTCGTTGTCTTCTATTCTCTTCTTTGTGTTAGTCCTGCTTCTTCTCATGCATCCGTTTTAATAATAAATTCGATAATTTTCTGAACATATTGAGGATTAAAACAACTGCTTTGCGATTGATTTATTTATTCCATTTTATTTCATACCGCAAAAATTTTGCAAATGATCAAGAGAAAACTAATTAACGATATGTATTTCAATTGCTGAGACAACACAACAAAGAAACAAACATCCCTGGTTAAGGCACTTACTTCGCATCAAAATGCATTCGAACGCTGAAGCCAATAATCACGCTGATTTTGTTACATGAACTTGAGCCACTTCGCTCAAGTTGTACATTTGGAGATACGGATAAAAGCTAAACAGATTTAAAATTTTTAAGTGGCTGTTTTTCATCCACTATGATGTTGTGATCTTGATTTTCTTCTATCCAGTGCTCTCCGACATTTCTCATAGCGATGCAGAGATAGCTGGAAAAAGAATATGCAATGTGATGATTAATTACGTGGGCAAAATCTAACCTAGCTGGTATGTCGCCAAGATTCAAGCCCATCTGCTGCAAGACGAACAACCCGTCTTTACCCAACACCCTGAAGAACTGCTCTGTTGATATTCGGTTTGGATTGTTGTCGGGATCTGTGTCCAAATAGTCCGCTATCAA